TGCCCAAGTAAAGTCGCGTTGCCGAAACCTCAGTCATCTTCACGGTTGCAGGACTATCGAAATCAGATCAGAGGCAGAGGTATCGAAGATGTGGAGAGAAGAAGGTCTTCAGAGTCTCAGAGTCTCAGAGTTGGAGTCGCAGCTCCAACTGGGAAGGTCGGCGGGCGCTAAGCTAGATGCCAGTAGTGCGACAATGCAGATCGATGATCCAAATGACCGAACAATTGTGCAGAGGAGAGGAGGTGAACGACAATGAGTGTCGGGCGACGTATATGAATGCGGCAGTAGCAGCGCGGGGAAGCTAAGCTACCGCGTCAGGCTGTTGGTTTCGAGTACGTCTGGAAGGGCCGAAAATGTAGAACGCCCGTAGCTGCAGTCCCAGAATGTGCAGTTGCCCGTGTTCAGTCAGGGTGGTGTGAACTAAAGCTGAGCCAGCGGGTAGAGATAGAGAGAGAGAGAGAAAGAGGCGCAAAGGAAAGTATTGGGGTGGGTGCCGAAGAGTGAGCGGCTGTTTGTCTTCAAGGGTAGGTATTGGTCGAAGCTCAACATACAGTCAGTACATGCATGCTGGGCTTTTATTTATGCACGGCCCGTATTCGCTCTGCTGCTGCAAATTGGCAGCCGGCAGTTGATACACAAGATGAGGCTGGTCTTATGTACGCTGTCATTGTAGAAATTGAATTGTATTTTACTTACCTAGGTAAGTAGGTAGTTATATCTCTCATGATCTCTTACAGACCCAAGTCAACACACATACAGTATTCTAGGGCTATTGTCATCGGACGCCGATGCTATGCACATGCCAAGCCCGCGCCAAAAACTCCGACGTTTCTTACATTCAACCTGTGTAGAGCCCACAATCACGCAGAAAGGATGTACCTCATATCCTCCTCAACTCAACCGAAGAGCACATCCACCAACTCGTCAAGAACTGTGAATGCGAGGTGTGTACTAATGGTCGGTCGACAACCGTTAGTTCGAGCCATTAATTCCAGAACGGAAAGGAGACAACTCACTTCAGCCTCGAATTATTCATCGTAGCAAAGATCCTCCGACTCGCCGCCTGCGCATTCAGCCGTCCCACCACACTGCCCGCCAGATCCGGAACAAGTGTAGCAAGCATGAGACTCGCCTCGCGTCTCGTCGTCGCCTTCTCTCCAGGCGTCCTGGCCGCCTTGTTCCGATTGATCTGACCGCCAGGCCACATGCTGTCCCGCAGGAGCCCTATATACTTGAGAACAGCGTCTTCTTGGACCAGGACCTTGACGTTATCGCGCACTTTCCGCTCGATGGTACCGCCGAGCAGCTGGTGCAACACGACGACGACGGCGCGGCCGCGCAGCCAGTTGTTGCCATGGTTGAGCTCAAAGACTTCCAGGAAGACGTCGCAGATGGGCTTGATAAAGGGCTCGAGCTCCTTGTTCTCAAAGGCGTTGAGCTCGGCTTCGGCCTCGGCCGCCGTCATGGCGTCTTCATTAAAAGGAATAGGCATGGTGTTGAGCTGGCTTGTTGCGGCTGCGATGAGGTTCTGGCCTGCAACGGAGAGTTGATCCAAGACGGGGATGTTGCCAAGTATGTCTTCCATTCCATCTGTGACCGAGTCGTAGAAACGTGTGATCATGTCTTTCTTGTCTTCCCGAGCCACCAGGTCTTCTCCTTGCTGGATGACGCTTTGGGATAGAAAGGCCCGTAGGTCTCTGCTGCGGCATACTTCAGGAAGTCGCAAGAGTTCTTGCATGTACTGCTCAAGAGCCTGTTGGCGTTTTCGTAGAAACTCGCTCTGCAGCTTCATCACCATTCGGCGACGAGGGAAATCCAGATTGCGTACAGATGGGTACCTGTGTCGCAGCCTCTGGTGCAGTTCATGAAATTCGCTGTAGCGCCTCGTCACAACCCACGTAGCTGCCGGCATCTTCTCTCCTGCGATTCGTCGGACTTCAAGGACATACACCGCAAATTCTTTGCCGTCGTCCTCTCGTCCCACCTGGATAGCTTTGATCTTGATCGACGCCCGTCCGTATAGACTGTTGTCACTCTCCTGTATGACATACTGCTGTCTCTGCAGTTCTTTGCGCCTCAATTCTCTCTGCAAACTTGCCTTGGATTTTCGTAAGATGCGTAACTCGGCAGTGTTGTTTGTCAATTCTGCTTTCTTCGTGAGGGACTCAATGATAGCATCCTGAGCTGCAAGGCGATCAATGTCATTCGTTAAGACGGTGATAGCTTCAGCAAGTCCTAGATCCCCGGGTGCAGCTTCGTGAACCTCGTCCTCAATGTTGCCTGGTTCCTCGTTTAGGTCATCCTGCTCATCTGCGAGAACCTTATCCTCGTCGCCAAACAAGTCGTTATCAACGAAAACGCCAATGCGCGATGCGGCACTAACAAGCCCCAGAGACGATAGACTGGGCTTTTCGGCTTCCTTGCCAAATGCAGGCGGTCGTTGTACGTCCATAGATCCTCTTGCTGATTCATCGTCCTGACCGGAGAAGATACTTGGAGACCCATCATCGTTATCGAACAGTGACTGACGAAGATCTTCCGCTGTTTGAGGTCTGTCGTCCTCCATGATGTTGCTCAGCGCCTCCTCCATGGCCTGCACTACCTGGTTATCAGGCGCAGCAACTGTCAGATCTTGATCTAGACTTTGAATTGAGTCGCCCATAGGATCGTGGTCAAGATCGTCATCATCGAACAGGGGCGAGGCTGCATTTCCATCCAGAGACCGACGTTGGCCCATCAAAGGATCTGGGCTATGGCTACCATTAGTAGTTGCTCCCCTCAGGTCAGTTGCTGATAGTCCGCGTCTGGCTGGAGTTTTGGTTGCGTTCAATCGCGGATTCAGTCTCGCAACCGGGGTTGGTTTCAACTGGTAGGACTGCGATGCCCTCATCAGGGGTGGAGCAGATGATGGCCCGGCTTGCGCTAAAAGTAGTGGTTGGCCAACTTTCTTTGATGCTTCCTCCGAGGCTAAGCACTTGTACCACAGGTCGGATTTCTTAAAAGATTGGAAGCACTTGGATTGCATCTCCTCAAGTGCCGCACTTTGAGCTCTCAAAACTGCGCGTCGTGCTCTGAAGTATTGTTCGGGGGTTGCACTTTTTCCAGCTTCCAAGAATTCCCGGATAGTCTTCCTCGAGGACCCTGGTACTCTAAGCTCGGGCTTTGAAAGGTATGCCTGATCTATTTGCGCAAGATCTGTCCGATCAGCGTCAGTCCACGGTGCCAGTGTAGAAGGCAGGTGTTCGTCCTCTGGTCCGTCATCCTCTAGTGGATTTCGGAACCCATCCACTACCAGCCAGAACTGGACGTGAGGCATCATTCGTTGACGATCCATATATTCCATGAAGTAAGAAAGGCCGGACGTATCACGCAGCAATTCAGTCAAAGATGCACTCTGCAGTCTCGAGGTATCTACAGGTGGCGCTGGGTTCGTGAACATAGGAGCATTGCTTCTGTCCCCTCCCGCAGCCAGGTGTTGAACTCTCTGATCAAGCAGTTTCTTACCCATATCCAAGCGACGCAGGTACACTTGGTCTTGTCCTTCTTGCTCCGAGTCCCTCTTCAACTGGCTGGCTACCTCGCTCCTAAAGCGCCGTGCATCAGAGAGATTGTTGACCTTGCGAATTGCCCTGATGTACTTCTCGAATCGTTTTTCGCCGTCCCCGGGGGATAGCCGCGGGAACGTAGCTGATTTCGAGCTCTTGGGGAATGGGGATGCATGCGCATCCAACGCAGCCCGTAACTTGCGAACTGTTGATCGATCTTGCAGCATACTTCGCCCGTAGTTCTCCATCAGCTGATTCCACGTATCCGGCTCGCAGAGTTGCGTCATGACCGGGAACAAGACAGCACAGCTGACTATCTCGCGAATGATGCCCGAGACTGCCCTGCTATTCAGTATGTTGGCGGGCAATACTTTCGGTAGGATTCCAACAACCGTCTTCCTGAGATGTTCCTGTTGAACGATCCTCAGATCTGAATATGCCAATGATGCAGCAGAGTGCAGCTTGCCCTCTTTGTACTTGGCAGCGATGGCCAGGTCTAGCTCTTCTGACTCGGTGACATTGCGATTGAGCTTCCGACCACGAACGGCCCTCTCAGCATCATTGAAGTCACGGAAGTGGGCTGTCAATATAGGTACAATGCGGCTCGTGATGACCTCGACCAGATCGACTTCGAACAGACGGTCTCGGATATTGGCAAGGGCGATCCTAGTTGTCTTGTCCACCTCATTCTCGAACACGGGATTCTTGCTGATGTGCGAATACCACGACTGGACAAAGTCCCTAACGATTAGGGCTAGGAGGTCGTCGAGCGCGTGGGATATCTTGCGAGAATCGGGGTACAAGGGGACCGGTGTGTAAATTTGGCGGACTCGCAACGACGACGTCTCCCTTCTCCACGCCACGGGACCGACGAAGGTCACAGCACTCGGTCGAGCCGTCCGATTTCTCGTCTCGTAAGCCGAACCTTTCGAAGTAAGGAGGAGTAGCACGAAGAAGCCGACGAGCACGGTAACGCAGCCGGCGACAAAGGTATAGCCGGCCCATCGTATTGCAGGCCACCAGCTGACGGCATATCCCCAGGCGATGAAGCAGACGATGCCAGCGATGGCGACATCCCTCCCCTTAAGGGCCATAATCCGATTTAGCTTGCCGCGATTGTTGCGTCATGTTTCTTTGGTTGGTTTGTTTAATTACCGCTGAACTTCTTTGGAGCTGTCTTATCGATTGCTGTAGCGAGGGGCCGCGCCGCTTTCAGTCGAGATGCCAGGATGCAGACTCCCATCAGTAAGTACAGTACTACGGTAAGTTAGCTGTAGTCAGCGCCGCGACACATGCCTACTATGTAGGTACGGAGTACAGGCTACTACAGCACTACTTAGTGGAGCATAGGTACCACAGCACTTCACGGAAGATCATTGGGTGCATCGCCTAGGTGGGGCTATTACATTTGAGAGATTGGTCATAAATGATTTTGTCAGATGTTGTGCATAACAATCTTCCGTGGCGCAATCGGCAGCGCGTCTGACTGTTAGTTTGACAGATAATCAGGAGGTTACAAGTTCGAACCTTGTCGGGAGAGTTTCTCTTTTTGCAGAGATGTATCCTATCTTATATTAAGTTAAATTATTTTAGTACGACCTATATGTTGTCATGCTTTCTTTTGCTCTTCTTCACTTAGGAGATAATGGTATTTTGCGAAACTTGTGAACTCGTGCCATAATGTAAACGTCTGTAGTTGGTTGGTATTCAGCCCTAAAATAATGTCTTAGCGCGAAAATGAGAGACAAATTGGTATCTTGGGAGCACTCACGACCAATTCACTTCTACAAGTGTAGATGATCTTAGGCAAATGCTTTCGTATGACTTTCTTATACTTATCCCCTGATCTACTTGTGTGTACTTGTAGAGACTTGCGCAGATTAAATTAGACGGACGTCTATTTACGTTACTTTGCACCTTTTCCCTCGGGCTTATTCTTCTCCATATCGCAAGTCGGACAAGCCATCTTACAGCAAATCTAAATGGTCAACATACAGCCCGGAGGAGCCAGTATGCTTGAACTGTGGCCTCATTGGCGTAATCAAAACATCGTGTCCACTGTGCTTCTTATGCACTCTCTGTCAAAACCATCCTCGGAAACGGGTTACTCGCGGGAAACAGCACTGTCTTATTTGAGTCTTCTATGGAAGCTCGAGATTATGCTATGGGATGCACTTCAATTTGACTAGATATGTACAGTAAGATCAAACTGCACTACAATCTGATGTGAGGTTCTTAGACTCAGTATTCTCTTATCGCCGAGCTCTATAAGAAAGCTTCCCAACGGAGATTACGTAGCTTGCCGGGCGATCTGTGGGCAGGTGCATACTCAAATGTGGTGCCCGGCAGGGGTTTTGACCACTCACAATATCGCAAGCGATCTGATAACCTTCTGTGCTGACGCGGAGTTACGAGAGCATTACAATTGGTACTGGATGCTGCAGCAGTAAACTCTTCTCACTAAAGCTCGGTCGTTGATCTCCTTATACTAGACAGTAGAGAGCTCATTACCAACGCCATAAGTGTCTAGGCGATATCGTGACTGCAACTTTGTGGGGATTCGGTGCAGCTTCCGAGCCGGAATGTCAGACCGCGCAAGCGCCGAAAACCCCGAATGCCTCTTCGTCCGAGGTGATACGAATTACCTAGAAACTCAGCCTCTGTGGAGATATAAGAGAAAGAAAGGAACCCCGACTAAAGGAGTCCAATTCCTGATCAGAGGCTGAGCACATGATCTCCTAACTTGACTCGGCCAATCGAGGTTCGGAAACACACTCTGAACCTGTCACCATAGCTGCTGCCTGGAATTCAGTCTCTTCCTTCCAGACTCCGAAGCCTTGCGTCGAAGGAGGCAGGTGAACTTCATAGAATCCGGAGACCTCCCCCAGTACGAGAACCAAGACCTCTAGCAGCTGGACTTACGCAGCTCCACAGCACTTGAGAGTTCACCACTCAACATTGCGCCATTCCAACGTCCTCAGAGCGACGGTAGTAAGTTTCCCCCACTTGCCTGCCGGGAAGCCAATTGTTCGGGCTCGGGCCACGACCCCACTATCTTCGGATCTGATAAGCGTATCCCACCTTTCACCACCATTTCGTCCCCTTTGTTCTGCGAGATGTCACTGTCGCACGACAACAAATCTCCTCAACTCGCCGCCCCCTCTCGTCCGGTTCCCACGCCCCCAGTAAAGCAGAGAATGGCTCTCGGCTTCCGCTCTCTAGTGGACAGCGCGAAGAAATTCGCCAGCCTCCCGGGCACGCCGCAAAACGAGAAGGCCACCGCATCGCTGACGGAGCTCTTCGCACCAACCACGCCCGAGGTCGACGGCGAGGACTGTACGCACGACTGCGAGTCATGCCACATCAACTACCCACGGAACTTCAAGATCGACGAGTCGGATCTACTTTACGGGCACGTCAAAGGATGGAGCACGCATGTGCTTGTCGCGACAGGCAAAACGGACTGGGTGCGGGACGTCGAAGACGAAAAGGGGTCCGTAATGCAGGCGTTCGGGAAGGCGGACAAGCCAAGCAATGGACGCCTGATGCTCAGCGCTAGCAACATACCCACGCCGAACCACACTGCGGATTACAGTGAGCCGACGAGTGTCTTGTTACTACCCGCGTTCCGGATCGTAGAGGGCGTCACGCCCGAGGCGGTGCCAAGTCTGATAAAGGGATTTATCAATGACGCGCCGACGAACATAATGCCCCTCGCGCCTGTGGCGCTGCCGAGGAGTATACCGGCGCCCGGACTGCCTGATGGGAAGGAGTTGCTGACCAGACCGAGTCCGCATTCGGCGTTGATCCTGCTGTGTTCACAGAAGACGCGCGATGCACGGTGTGGACAGAGTGCACCGCTATTACGGAAGGAACTGGAAAGACATCTCAGGCCGTTGGGTTTGTTCCGAAACTTGGATGATCAGCGGCCGGGCGGTGTGGGAATATACTTCATTAGTCATGTGGGAGGGCATAAGTACTCAGCCAACGTCATGGTTTATCGAAGACCCGACGCATTCGGTGTTGATGCGGTTGAGAGAGCGAAATTAGCTGCCGGAGAGGAAGTCAAGCCTGTCAGGAAGATACCCAATGATAAAGAGCCAGTTGTGCAAGCGAAGCCAACGGAGGAGGAAGAGGGGGAGAAGAAGGAACCAGGGGTCGAGAGCGGAGGCAATAAAGAGGAGGAAGATGTCGGCGCCGCGCAGTGCATATGGCTCGCGAGAGTCAAGCCTGAGGATTGCGAGAATTTGGTCAAATTTACGGTACTTCAGGGCAAGGTGGTCAAGCCGGATACGCAGTTAAGAGGCGGGTTTGATCGTGGAAAGGGGTTGTTGAGTTGGTGATTCTTAGACTTGGAGTATTGTGGTTGTGCAGGGTAGGCGTTGATAAAGATTGGGAAGCATCTAGACTGGCTCATATGCATATATTCTAGCTCATCGTGCAATTGGATACTAAGTTCACATCTTCATGAGATGGAAACGGTATTCCAGACTACAGGTGCGTTCCTGACATCTCTCGACTCCAACATATCCCTGCTTTGATGCCATGAACTACATCAACCGAAGATACGTAGGTTCCAAGGGCATACTGGCTACTTGTTCACCCAAGAACAATCCAACTATAATTAATGGTATAAATCCTAGTTGACGCAGCATAGATGAACAGTCTGCATCAGTGTATGTCTGACTAACCGCGGTCAACTACCAAGACAAGACTGATTACTGCTACTGATTATAGCCATTGATTCAGTCACACCCGTATGGACGACATTGTCTCACGTACGTTCTTGCTTTACTTGACCTGATATCCCGGGATCGATCTGATTAGCTCATCCAAGCAGGATCATATTGCATCTGCGACCTACTCAGCAGCGACCAAACGACAGTCATGAAATTTTCCCCAGTTGGTTTGGGCCGATTACTCCGAACTAAAACTGGGACTCGATATGCGTGGCGTTAAGACCTACCTGTTATGTGGTGCAAAAGTTCAGCTAAGTAGGTGGACATATGTCCTATTCCCGCCTCAACCTCCGCCTCCTTTCCTCTTTGTGCATGATTCTGTTGGGGACGAGAGACATGCAGGTGTTGCTTGGGGCGCCTCAGCTTCTAGACGTCAAAGAAGCCAATTTCACATGTTGGACTGTGAAATTGGAATAGCGCCATGTCCTGCTTATCTTCTAGGTCATTCTAGTCGAACGACACTCATTGTTTGGGCTTGTGCCTTTTATTATGATCGGATAATCAGTATTTCTTTGGGCTTATGCCAGGTTTGTTGTGGCACTACAATGCTTGATTAGAGGGGTCCACTACCTAGGTTAGCGAGTAACTTATTGTATCTCCAGCAAATTCGACCCCTCCAAGCCCGGAAGCTGACGGCGTTGCATCGGCCCACCGTGTGTGTTTGGATGCGTTGGATCAGAGGAAGCGAAGCGACAGACCAAGGTGCAATCTTTCATTCCGCGCCTAGTCCAACACTCTCAGACAATGACGACAGATGCCGCCCTCCCGTGCCCCTAATTTTGTGCCTTGCTCTTCCATCAACTACACCTAATAGACCTCGAGGTCAACTTATTACCACGATCGAGCGCGCATACGATTAGAGAGTACCCATCGATTCCGACCTCCCGCCGCCACCATGTCGGACGTCAGACCAAGGGAGGGGCAGGAAATGGCTCCCGAGAGTCACGTCAAAAAGCCCGGCAAGGAGCTCTACCCCATGAGCAACTGGAAATACGATGTCTTTGGCTGGTTTATGTCGGTCCTCATCGATCTATTCTTTCGTGAAGTTTCCCACAGAGGATCCTGGTACGTTCCGAGGAAAGGTCCAGTGCTGTTCATCGCTGCGCCGCATCACAATCAGTTCGTCGATGGCATCACTCTACAACGGACGCTACGAGTCGAAGCGAAGAGACGGGTCTCCCTCCTTATCGCCCAGAAGTCGGTACATGGCTTCGTCGGATGGGGTTCGCGCCAGACGGGTTCCGTCCCTGTTGGCCGAGCCCAGGACTCTGCGAAACCTGCGAAAGGCACTGTGTATCTGCCTGATCCCATCAACAACCCGAACCTCGTCCGTGGCATTGGTACAGACTTCGAGAGACAGGCCGAATTGGGTGGCATGATCTTTCTGCCCTCCGTCAAGGGACTATCTGGGTCCAGTGTAGACATTGCCGAAATCGTTGGCCCTGAGGAGATCAGGACGAAACGGGCTTTCAAGGGAAAAGTTCCCATGCGACAACTCACGGGGCGGGAGGATATTGACGAGGATGGAAAGTTCACCAACAAGGCAGTCAAGGGGCCAAAAGACGGCTATGCGGGAACCAAATTCAAGCTGGCCCCTCACATTGATCAGACTCAAGTCTACCAGGCAGTATTCGACCGCTTGAAGACGGGAGGCTGCGTGGGCATCTTCCCCGAGGGAGGCAGTCATGATCGAACCGAGCTTCTGCCTCTGAAGGCTGGTGTGGCTATCATGGCCCTCGGAACTCTTGCGCAGGATCCCGATTGCGGCCTCACCATTGTGCCCGTGGGTATGAACTATTTC